CCAAACTCAAGAAATGGTCAAAACTAAATTCTAATAAGCGGGAAAGGTAGAGCACGGCGAGGGGAACAACAAACGTTAAGGCCGAAGACTTTCCATCAAGGAAAAGTGAACCAAAAGAGGAGAGAGAAGATGGCAGCACCCCTTGGGCTGCCATGGGAGCTCCAGGTAGTGCATGAAGAGGGGAGAAGATGAAAAATGAAATATCTCACCCCCCTTTTTATAGAAATCTCAAAAAGTGCCTCGAACGAGCCCCGCCGGGTCCGAAAAAGTAAAATTTGAGCAGACGCGCTCAAATGGCAAAACTTTGTGAACAAAAAAGATTCAAAATGATAAAATATGAATAATAGAAGAAACGGCGTCAAAAACTGAGTCCCGAGCAGAAAGTTATGTCCAAAACAAGTTTGGCGAAAACCGGGGCCAGAAACCCTGAAACTGGAAAACATCGACCAGGAGGAAATTCCAAGAGTACACTACTCGACGAAATGTGAAAATGAATCCCGTACAAGGATCCAAGCTCAAAACAAGACATTTTGCAATAACTTTCATTAATTGCACAATGGCCCTTCCAAAAAGTGAAAACTGCACTTATGTCCCAGAATGAAAATATCTTCCAAAAATATTTTCTTAAAAACCCCTGAAATAAAATATCTTTAAAAGATATTTACGAAAAACACCCCAAGAAATGAAATTAATTCCAAAGATTTATGCATCCATGCCCCTATAGGCACCGGGAGCAACCAGAGTACTTTCTTATAAAAGTAAAGATACGTATTTCGTGGAAACCACTCACGATAAGGATACGTGAAATCAAAAACCAACTCCGAGCATGAGAAGTGAGGTTGTGCCAAAAACTGACAAACGGAGGTAAGACGAAATAGGGAAAATGACAGAATAGGGAAAAGACGAAATAGCGCATAGTGTTCAAAAACAAAAAATGCGAAAATTACTCGGTCCTCAAAGGAAGTTGTCAATTCACATGAAAGAGTCTCCGAAACCAATTTCGAGCACTCGAGATGACACTAAGCGACACGAATCAGAGCTCAGAAAGGAAAATTAAACGAAAAAAATTCATTCGTAAAATTTCTGGAAAAAGGAAAGGAAGGCAAATGACCGGGTCGTTACAGTTGCAGCATAGGCTGAATCACCTTCAAGCCACATATTTAGCATGTAGTACTTCAATGTTTAAATGCGTAGTAAAGGAGCCCTAACTTGGAATCATTAATTTGTTTTCTTTTGCTTTGGTTTTTGTTTCCACCAAACCACAGATTTTGTTATAGTTGTGATTGCATTGTCTAAGGGCTGCAATGGAATATATATATATATATATATATATATATATATATATATATATATATATATATATATATATATTAAGGTTTATATAAATAATTATATACGTATATTTAACAAATATGATTATTGTTATTATTATAGTTGTATATATATTTTTTCCTTTTCTTTTTCCTTCTCCTAAAGGTACCAGAATTGGTTTTAGGATAGGATTATAGTAGTATATATTTATACTTAGCATAGTCTGCTACGGTTATATACATATTATAGTGTAACAGAGGCAAAATAGAAAAATAAAGAGTTTTAGAGAGAGGAAGGAAAGAGAGGGATTGGCCAAGAAAGGAGGCCGAACCAAGGAAAGAAGGAAGGAGGATCTGCTTACGGGTTAAATCAGGAGCACATAGGACTGAGAAGGCAACCCAAGGTTCGCCTGATTAAGAAAAGAACAGAGGAAGAAGTAGTTTAAGGTTTTCAAATCTGAAACCTTAAAGGCAAGTTCTTCTTCTATCTCTTTTCTTTAGATCACGTGTTCTATACATACCTAGTACAATTCCAGGATAATTAGAAGTAAATTCGACCATGTATACATACTTAAAAAGATTAAAAACAGTGTTTATGTTTATATATATATGATTGTTAAATCTTGAATCTTGATGCATGAAACTTGTTTTGATTCATTCTTTTAATGCATAATGGCTTAAAATAAAAAGTTTGGGACCATATGAGACTTAGTACAGACATATAGGACCCTTAACGAAGGAGATTAAAGCAGGCAGAGGTCGTCGGAGTTGGAGAAGACGACTCGCAGTAGGAATGAGTCGACTCAGTTGCTAAACGAGTTAACTCAGTTGGAACTCAGTCGACTGGATTGATGAAAGAGTAGACTTGTTTGAAAATGAGCCAACTTAATTAGTAATCGAGTCGACTACTTCTGTGAATGAGCCAACTTAGTTGGGCCGAGACCTGGGTTAAGCATTTTAAGTTCCCAGAAGTAGTTTTAATCTATTTTAATTAATTTAAATGGATTAATTGGACTTGAAAAATTCCCAGAATGCATAATAAACTTAAATATGCTAAGGACTTAGATATTATGGATGTTTAAATAACTAGCTTCAAGTTGTTTAATGGATGTTTTTATTAATTTAATTGTCTTAACAATTAAAATAGATGTTTAAATGATTTTAATCATATTTATAGAGGTTTATATATTTTAAATGAGATATAAGTTGATTACTTGGGATGTAAGTTAACTGTATGCTATTTAAATTGTTATTATTGCTTAAATAAATGCAATGAATATCTGTATGATGTATATCATGTTATTTCTGGATTATTTGATGTATAAATAGATATGTTGCATCAATTGTTGGATTATGTGGAAACCATTGATTGGTTATGGATGAATGCACCATTATCAAGATATGGGGGCATATTATGGATTGACTAGCTATTAAGTTAAGTCTCATCTATTCATGTCAGGTCATGGAACTATATGGATGACATGCCATTGAGAGGCTATGGTAGATAGTTTATTTTTATGTTCTGGATAAGATGGATTTATATATATATGGATATGTGTCATGATATAAGCTTAAGTCTCAGGATTAATGGTTAGGGAGTGTATATTGCCTAGGATGCATTGCTAGATATTGTGGATAATTGTATGCCCTGATAGATCATAGTACTCATGTCCACTATATGTGCGTTTTGCATGTTGCCTACTATTCAGATTGAGGCTGCCCTATAGTCCAGTGAGAGTCATTTTGTGTGTATCTATATATATACAGATTATGTAGTTATTGTTTGAGTTGACTAGGCTATATATGTGTATCGAGTCTTTGTTTGGGATATAGTAGAGTAGAACTTGTTCGTGGGTTTCAGGTGTTTATCAGGTGTAGAGATTGTTCGTGTTGAGCAGAAACCAGTCAACTTCAGTCTTCCGATTCTACTTAGGTATCTACTTTATGTTTTCAGTTTTTCAGTTTGGATTATTATTTTTAGTTGGGATTTTATTAGGGGTCCCCATTATGGATTCTCAAGTTGTAATCTAGATGGGTACTGGTATCAGAGGATTTTGATTATTTAATGGGGCATCTATTTTATTTGGATATTGTTAGAGGAATTATTATTTAGTTTTCTTTTCAACTTTATTATTTATTCTTATTATCTTTTGTATTCTGTGTTCATTTATTACTTAGTTGTTTGATATTCCCTTGGTGTCGTGCGTGGACTTGATCAACCTGTATTCCAGAATAGAGGGGTATCACAGGGTGGCATCACGCAACCCACTATTTTGCCCCCAATATGATAGTCGGGGAATTATAATGTAGAGACCTGTTCTTATATAAGAATGAGGAAACCCGTTGTCAACGGATGACTTTGGGATGGTTTCTATGATCGGAAACCTTCATCTTGCCGTCCAAATCGCATCAGAATTATTATTTCTTCAGGGAACTAATCGTTCCCACAGATGGCACCAGTTGTTGATGCGAAAATCCTCGTGACCCAAAATGGTGGCATTTACTGCAAAACAACGGGATGTCACCTCGAATGGCACCGGTGGGGTACCGACCGAGGACCCTCTGATGATCAAGTTAGTACTTGAAATTGTACAACAGAAAAGTAATTATGTATTCAATGTTAGGGTTTTTTCTCTTATATGATTTAATGACTCGATATCCTATTTATGGCTGCTGTGTCGATGATTAAGATCTCCCTTGTCATCAGTAACGAGATCTGTTGGGGTGATGAAATTGGTTGCGATATTGAGGTTCATCTTATGTTGAATAATAATATCTCTATAAAGTTGGAGAGGAATGACAGCAGGTCAACCTAGGGCATTTTTTTTCCCCACAAAAATAATGGCTTTTATTCTATATTTAATAACTTAGTTGTTTATTTAATAATAATTTAGTACAGAAAACATAATAAGAAAAGAAAAACAAAAGAAAATAATCCAATAGGTCTTCTTTAAATTAACCTTCCAAACAAAAGTAGTGGTACTACTCTTGGAATCGAAGATAAAGATATATATATATATGTGTGTGGAGGGAAAAATCTCCCTCCAATAAGAATAATCCACATCATCATAAATATAAACTTATCCACGATGAGTTTATGAAGCCTACCTCGCTCAAACCCAAATTGAATTTGAGGCTAGTCCAAGATCACTATTCACAAGCCCAATACTATTGTTATTTGACCTTCAGTCCTGTTGAAGCCCGAATCAAGAGATTATCAGCCCAACACGGTAACATCAAACATCCTGCCTGTTATTCAAGCCCAACTGGTTCAAGGTGTATTCAGCCCAGTTTTCCAAGATTGGACAAATCCTATCGGTAGAAGGATTTATCATAAAAGGAGAATTCTTTTATGGGAAGTTCTATACAAGGCAAGTTCTATGTAGGAAATATTATACAATAGAAAGAACTCTATTTGTAAAGAAAGTCATGTATGGGAAAAATTACCTTAATTCTACTAATTTATATGTATAAATAGAGGCCCAGACCTCCAATAAAGGGATCCAAGCAATTCTACACTTCTCTATACACTGTTCTTATTTATTTTTACTGTTCTTGAGTGTGTTGTATTATTTTTCTCAATTATTATTGGTTGAGTAGAATTTTGGACCTACACTTTGGTGCCGTCTGTGGGAATCGTGTGCAAATATATTCCCACTCTTGTTTTTGTTTCACAAGTGAATCTTGCAGCTACCATCCAGAATGTCGAACGGAGGATCTTCAGCAGATCAACAGACGGAGTTGATACAAAAGATGCACGAAGAGTTTCTACACCAGTTTGACGTACTTCGTCAGGCAAACGAAGCAAGCGTGGCTCAGATCTCCTTGCTTCAACAGCAGAATAACACTCTGCAAACGACGCTGGCTCAATTGGTACCACCGCCACTAGTGGGTGACACAGCAGCACCCCCTAGTCAGAATATTCCTTCGATTACTGGACTTTCGCCTGATGGGGTTCCACCTAATGGGGCACGACCCAATGAGGTTCAGCCGAATGAGGTTCAGTAGCAACGGAAGGCAAGATTCGAGGCTGCGGCTTCAGATAACGTCCCTCGTTGCACGCAGGATGAGCAAGTCGAATCCAGCCATAAGCTTATGGTGTGGTCCAATGGAATCCCAGATGGTACAGGTGTTCAGGATGTCTTTGACGAGAAGAGACTCCTGAAGATTCAGACACCTGCCGAGATGGCTCGAGAATACAAAAATTCTTTGATCAAAACTCCTTTCACTGACGATGTGTATCTGGTTGAGAGGCCCAAGAAATTCACCATGCCTTCTTTCACCCAGTTTGATGGAACAAGGGATCCTTCTCGGCACCTAGATCATTATACTCAAAAGATGGCTTTGGATGATCGTAATGACCCTTGGATGTGCAGAGTTTTTCCTACCAGTTTGACAGGAGCAGCACTAGAGTGGTTCAGGAATAGACCGCATAAATCCATCCCGGATTACGTAACTCTATGCACCATGTTCCTGGCACAGTATTACGGAAATAAGAAGCAAAAGAAGAGCATTGCCAGCCTCTTCACCGTAAGGCAGAAAAGGGGGGAAACATTGCAGAATTTCTTGTCAAGATTCAACATGGAGGCATCAGAAATAGCGGATTCTCATCCCACAACTGCTATAGAGACATTTAAACTAGCAATGATTCAGGGGACGAAGTTCCACACTTCCTTAGTCAAGTATTCTCCTCCCGACATGCAGACTCTAAATGCCAGGGCCCAGATTTACATTCGGCTTAAGGAAAATATAGCCCACCGAGCGCAGCACGCTACCCTCATGACAGTGGAAAACAAGCCTCGAGAAAGAGTTCCAACTCCAAAGATTCAAAAAAGCCAACGTTCCTCAACGCCGATCACCGAGGCACCTGAAAAAAGGCAAAGGGTAGAGGAAGGATTTACACCTCTCCGAACTACCTTGGCTCAGCTCTTCCAAGAGAATAAGACGAAGTTCACAACTCCGCAACCGATAAAGCAACCCCTGGAGCAAAGGGACAAAAGCAAGCATTGCGCTTATCATCGAGATTATGGGCATTCAACTAACGATTGCCGATCCCTCAGGCGACAAGTGGAGAATATGATCGCCAGAGGTGACTTGACGGATTACCTCATGACAAAGGAGCATGCAAAGCCCCGCGAGGTCTATCCCCGCAAGGTAGAAGGTACGCAAGTAAAAGTCATCCATGTAATACATGACAGGTCTGAAGATGATCAAGAGTCCGAGGAGGTGTACAGATCCAGATTGAGGGCGACCCACAAGCTCAGGAAGATATCCTCGGTCAATGTTATCAATTCGGGTAGCATTAGTATTGGATTCGGAGATGGCGACCTATCCAGAGTGCAACTCCCCCACGAGGATCCATTGGTCATCAGTCTTTTAGTGGCCAATTGTATGATCAGGAGGGTTTTGGTAGATCCAGGAAGTAGCGCTAACATAATCACAAAGACGGTCTTTGATCAGTTAGAGATCTCGTCATCATCTATTCGACCTACCTTCAGCCCGTTGATGGGATTCGATGGCATAAGAGTAGATCCCCTTGGAGTAATAGACTTGTCCGTAACCGCGGCGAAGAGGACTCTGAAGGAGAACTTTGTTTTAACGGAGATCCATCCTTCTTACAATCTCATCATGGGAAGAGGCTGGATACATCGGATGAGAGGAGTTTTGTCCACCCTCCACCAAGTGATGCGGTGCTTATCTCCAGACGGGAAAGAAGTAATTAATATGTGGGGTGATTAAGTCGCAGCGAAGGAATGCTATATGTTGACACAAGTTGAAGCGAAGAGGGTGTCGACTCAACAACAACTAGGTGTGGCTTCCAAAATTGGACCCAAATAGTAATTACAGAGCATTCTGCCCAAGTATCTTAAGGTCAAGGAGGAAGAGAAAATTGCGAAGCCCACCGAGGGGACCCTCGAAGTCGTGGAAGTTATCCTCGGCGACCCTCAGAAGGTTACTTATCTAGGCTCTTCTTCCACGTCCGAAGAAAAGGAGGCACTAATTGATGTTATCCGGAGCAATGCAGATGCCTTTGCGTGGGATCACTCGGACATGGTAGGGATCGATCCCTCAGTTTCCTGCCATAGCCTGAAGGTGGATCCAGAGTTAAAACCGGTCAAGCAAAAACATCGAAGGTTTACCCCTGAATGCAATCACATTATAGCTGAAGAAGTGAGCAAATTGTTGCAAGCAGGTTTCATTCGAGAAGTGCAATATCCGCAGTGGTTGTCGAACGTGGTAGTCGTACAAAAGAAGAATGGAAAATAGAGGGTTTGTGTAGATTATACCAACCTCAACAAAGCCTGCCCTAAAGATAGCTACCCTCTGCCCAAGATAGACCAAATGGTTGATGCTACCACTGGCTACGAGAGGTTGACATTTCTAGATGCATACTCGGGATACAATCAGATTCCTATAAACCCCGAGGATGAAGAAAAAACGGCTTTTATTACATAAAAGGGGACTTATTGTTACAGGGTCATGCCCTTCGGACTGAAGAATGCTGGAGCTACTTATTAGCGCCTTGTCAACAAAATATTCGATAATCTGCTGGGAAAGACAGTTGAAGCATATATAGATGACATGGTGGTTAAAAGTGTGAAGAAAGAAGATCATCCGAAACATCTACAGGAAGTTTTCAATACTTTGAAGAAGTACAACATGAAGTTGAATCCATCCAAGTTCTCCTTTGTGGTATCATCAGGACAATTCCTCGGCCACATAGTGAATAAAAGAGGGATAGAGGTAAGTCCGGCTCAGGCTAAGGCCCTCATCCAGAATTAAGAACCAAAAAATCGTAGGGAGGTGCAGGTTCTTACTGGTCGGATCGCAGCACTCAGCCGGTTTATATCCGGATTGTCAGATAAGTGTAAACCATTCTTTGATGCTATATGATCCAAGAATAAAGATATATGGAGACCTCAGCAGCAGGAGGCCCTCAGTCGGTTGAAGGGTTACATGGCTGAACCACCAATTCTATCCGCTCCAAAACCCGGGGAGGTTCTTATTATGTATTTGGCAATTTCTAATATAGCGACAAGGGCAGTATTGATTAAAAAGGAAGGAAAGAGACAATATCTAGTCTTCTACACAAGTAAGACCATGACAGATGCAGAGATGCGATATAGTAAAGCAGAAAAAGTCATTTTAGCTTTGATCTATGCCAAGAGGAAGCTTCGGCATTATTTCGAATCTCATAGCATTGTGATACTCACCAACTATCCTATACGGGGTATACTCTCTAAGCCCGATTTATCTGGGAGAATTACCAAGTGGGCTATCGAGCTTAGTTCCTTCGACATAACTTATGAGCCAAGGGTGTCGCACAAAGGACAAACCGTAGCGAACTTTCTTCTCGAGTATGAAGATACTCCCGAAGAGCTGGCACACCTTGAACCACAGTGGGAACTTCGAGTCGATGGTTCCTCGAATCAAGCAAGTGCAGGAGTAGGCGTTGTAATGTCAACACCTGAAGGCACCAAGCTGCAGCAATGTATCTGTTTGAAGTTCCCAGCTATGAACAATGAGGCCGAGTACGAGGCATTACTTGCTGGTCTTCGATTAGCTAGCAGTCTCCAGGTACGTTGCTTAAAGGTTTTTAGTGACTCACAGCTTATTATAAATCAAGTGACAGGTCAGTACCATCCCAAAGAGGAAAGAATGAATGCATATAAAGAAGCTGTAGAGAATGTTGCACGGGGATTCGATCAGATCGAATTCTATCAGGTACCTCGTGTTGAGAATGCTGAAGCAGATCAATTGGCCACATCAGCGTCATCTTCAAATGAGGATCTGATTCAGATTGTGCCGATTGATGTTCTGGACGAGCCCAGCATTAATCCTCCGCAGGAAGTAATGGTGGTTCCAATTATTCCTCGAGAACCATGCTGGATTGATCTATTGGAAAGTTACCTCAAGCATAGAGTTCTTCTAGACCAGAAGTCCGAAGCACGAAAGCTCTGTATCACCGCAGCTAAATATGCCATCATTAACAATCAGTTATACCGAAAGTCATTTTCAGGTCCTTACCTGAAATGTTTAAGCCCTACTGAGGCTTTTGTGGTGTTGAGACAAATCCATGACGAAGATTGTGGCAACCATTCTGGGGGCAGATCCCTCGCGCATAAAGTCCTGACTCAAGGTTACTTCTGGCCGTACCTGGCCCGGAATGCAGAAGAGTATACACGGAGGTGTGACAAATGTCAACGTCACAGTCCCATGAAGCATCAACCTGCCGAAGATTTGCACGCAATGGCAAATCCATGGCCATTCGCATAATGGGGGATTGATATGGTGGGCCCATTACCCAAGACTGTGGAACAAAAGGAGTACGTGCTACTGGCTACAGATTATTTCACTAAATGGGTAGAAGCCGAGGCCTACTTAAGTGTGACCCATGAGGAGGTAAAAAGTTTCCTTTGGAACAACATCATTTGCCGGTTTGGGGTCCCAAAAGTCATTATGATGGACAATGGTAAGAACCTTGATAATAGAAGTACAAGAAAATTCTTTGCTGAGCATGGAATTATACAAAAGTTAGCTGCAGTCAGTCATCCACAAGGGAATGGACAGGCTGAAATAACTAATCGGACAATTTTCAGTTGTTTAAAGAAGAAATTGGAGAAATTCAAAACGAAATGGTACGAGAATCTCCCTCAGGTGTTTTGGGCGTACCGAACCACACCATGACAGCCTACGAGAGAGAGTCCCTTTGCCATGGCTTATGGATCTGAAGCTGTGATTCCAACCGAAGCGGCAGTTCCAACCCTTCGGACATTCTTATTGCTTGAAGGAAACAATAGTCAGCAGCTCGAACATAGTCTCGATCTCCTAGACGAAAAAAGGGATGCTGCAGCAATTAGGCAAGAGACAGCTCATGTAAAGAAACTGGAACCTAATTGGACCGAACCCTACAGGGTTACCGAAGTAGTGGGGAAAGGAGCATATCGTTTAGCCGAAGCTGACGAACGTCCCATTGCGCATCCTTGGAATGCAATACACCTTAAAAGGTATTTCCATTAGATAAGTTTGTCAATTTTGCTACAAATTCTTCACAAATAAGGCTGAGTATGCCCACAGTCAGCCAAACTTTTCTTTATTTGCTTCTATCATATTCAGTATAATTCTACTCCATTTATTCCTTTCCATAAAAATGGGGGCCATACTACTATATGATTATGAAACTTTTATGCATGCGTCGCATCATGCAGATTTTATGCATGCCAAGTCGCACTATGCAATTTTTATGCAGAGCAATGTTAGAAGCAAGCTGTTAAAAAAGCATTCGTCACAATGATTTTTAAGAAAAAACATGAGTTATGGCCTATGGTTAAAATTCTCTATCCCACATCGACAAAAAAGTATGTGTTACATTCTGTTATATATGGGAATATTCAAATAGTTGATTGCGGTGTAAGGAGGGCCCACTAGTATTAAAGGCTGTCAAGCTCAATACCAGAGGCATTCCTTACACCGAACTTTTTGACAAAATCTAGTCTATGTCCCACATCGGATAGAAATACAAAAGAAATACGGTTAATATATACGTAGTCCACTACATTTGGTTGCCAAGAAGGGAGTATCAATGGAGGAAAGTCTCCAAAGTCAACAAATAGGAAACTTCACAACCACTGTTACTCGCTTTCTTGGCCTCCTATCATTTTTGAATCATCGGCCTCATGATAAGTTGTTTGAGAAAAATATATGCAAACGTCCCCTCAGGCCCAGTGCCGGGGAGTAATTCATTAGCCTCGGACCCTAAGTGTCCAGCTCGGCAAGCCTCCCCTCAGGTTCAGCGCCGGGGAGTAATTCATTCGCCTTGGACCTTAAGTGTCCGGCTCGGCAAACCTCCCCTCAGGCTCAGCGCCGGGGAGTAATTTATTCGCTTCAGACCCTAAGTGTCGGGCTCGGCAAACCTCCCCTCAAGCTCAGCGCCGGGGAGTAATTTATTCATCTCGGACCCTAAGTGTCCGGCTCGGCAAACCTCCCCTCAGGCTCAGCGCCGGGGAGTAATTTATTCGCCTCGGACCCTAAGTGTCCGGCTCGGCAAACCTCCCCTCAGGCTCAGCGCCGGGGATTAATTTATTCGCTTCGGACCCTAAGTGTCCGGCTCAGCAAACCTCCCCTCAGGCTCAACGCTGGGGAGTAATTCATTCGCTTCGGACCCTAAGTGTCCGGCTCAGCAAACCTCCCCTCAGGCTCAGCGCCGGGGAGTAATTTATTCGCCTCGGACCCTTAGTGTCCGGCTCAACAAACCTTACTCTTACGCTCATATTCACTGATTCTAAGTTCGGTAATATAAGCCACGAGATTGTCCCACATCGAAAAACCACAAGAAGAAACAAGTATAAATATACTTGCTTCACACAAATCCATTTCAAGAAGGGTTCCCTTAACGGTTAAATCACCAAAGGAAAAAACAATCCTCTATTATCAGATAAACCATTAGAGGAGATCTCTTCTTCACATCTTATTTATTTTGCTTCGGAATAGAACAGATAAGGAACTCTCAAGCAGGGTACTTTCTTTAAAAATAATCTCATCTAACAAAGTGTGTGCAATATTAAAAGCATACAAGCATACTTAGTCGAAGCAAAATAAAAATGACACTGCTTAAGAAACATGGTTATATCATTCATATCTATCATTCCCAATGTTATTTCATTACAAAAATATTACTCTATCCTACTTCCTCTTCGGATCAAACGGGGTAGATTCAAAAGCATCTACCACAGCTGGACTTGCAAGTGGAGGATTTGATGGGCCAGTTGCAAGAGTGGAGACACTTGGAGCTGAAGGGACCTCAGGATGAGCTTTCACCATCTCGACAAAAAAAACTTCAGCTTCCTGAGCTTTTGGACCCTCATCATAAGGGAAAGACACTCCCATATGGGCATCAAAAGCCTCGGGATCTGTTGTCTTTTCCCCTTAACCCTGATTAAAGCCGGACCTGAAAGCCTTGGCGCTAGATAAGCACACCAAACTAGAGTAACGACCTTGCATCTGCCTCCCTGCAATGATGCAGGTGTTAAGGGCATCATTCAAACGCTGGACTTCAGCCTCCAGCGACTCAACTTTGGCATCAGAAGTAGCCAGACGCTTCTTGTAAACATCCCGAGCCTCGTATGCAATTTGTGCATTGGCAATGGCATGGGATGCCTTCTTCTCAGAATTACTGAGGTCTTTCTCCAGCTTCTTAAGGGAAAGAGACTGAGCCTCAGCAATAGCACAGAGGGCCATAGTATGGTACAAGCCCTGCATTATGAGATAATAACAATGTAAGAAAGTGTGTAAGGCAATTATGACAATGGAAATGAAGGACGGAGCAAACCTCTATGGCTCGAACAGGGGCAGATGGGAGTAGCTGTTCCAACCCCATTCTGCCGATAATTTTTTCATCCTTGGGGAGCCACATTCCCCGAGCAATAGCCAGTGCTGTAGATGAGTTAGCGATCATAGAATCACCAACATGGAGGATGGACTTGTCAGCCCTCGAGAAGGAAGGAGTCCAAGGTGCTCCAGCCTCGGTAAGGACGTAAGCGCTGACCTCATCCTCAGGGTTAACCTCTTCGGTTTTCTTCCCTTTGCTTTTTGGGTTAGAAGCACCCTTGGATTTCGCGGTTGAAGAGGAGTTCAGCCTTGCCCTTTTGTTCAAAAGGACTTCGTCAATCTCCTTTTCCTGCTCATTTGTACACAATATAGTCAACGGAGCATTCTCTGCAGCTTTCCTCTTCAAGTCTTTAGCCCTCTGTTTTTCTTCCTCAGTCATGGGGAAGCTGTCAAATGATGGAAGTGAGAGGTCTATGAGATCAGCAGCTACAGCTCTGGAAGCAACTGCTTTAAGACTTGCAGAAGTGAGTAAGCTCTCGATCGAGGGAGGGTTGCTCCAGACCCACCTTTCCAGGAAGGAAAGCCTCTTCTTGGCAGCCGAAAAAGGAAATGTTGCTGAAAAAACACCAAGAAACTCGTAAATATATCGAAATAATAAAACTCGACATGGGAAACAGCCCGAGCACTCTTCATGAAGAAAGGGGGGATGTTCTATACCTAACTTCCTGAACTTGCGAAGGATTGGGAGTTTGCTCGATTGGGGCACGGCCCATCTCCCTTTAACAATTATCATCCTCTCTTTCCACTTCTTCTCAGAAGTAGGAAGGTCTGTACATATCCTTTGGTGCAAGGGGGAAGTGAAAAAGAAACGACAAGGTTCGGTTCCATTCTTAGAAATAATCAGCAAGTCAGCCAGAGTCAGGTCAAGACTCTCCTACCACCGGCGAATAAGGAGTGCTGAGATTACTCGAAGGAAGTTAGGGTTTACTTGCAAGGGTGCAATCCCCAATTTGTTGAAAACTAAATGATAGAAGGGATGAAGGGGGAACCTAAGAGCATTGAGATGTCCAATAGAGAGAAGCAACTCATCTTCTTCGACGCCCTCGCCGGCACAAAAATCAGCGCCTTTAGGGTACTCTGCAATTTCTATCCCCTCGAGAATCTCGAATTCTTCCATTACGGATTCAATGGAGAACGGGATGCGTCAAATAGATAGAATTGCATTCCTTTCTTCCTTAGTAAGGATATTGTCTGACCCAGAGGTGGATGCTTCAGCCTGGATCGGGGAAGCACCTGGCTGATTAGCCGAGTCACTTACATGTTTAGGAAAGTTCAAAACCCTAGGTGGGGGAACCCTAATGAGACTAGGGGAAGACGAGGGAGTGGACTCAGAATCTGCGATCTCTATACGTTCAAGAGTAGTCGAAGTACTCATAATGCAAGATCGAAGAGAAAAAGATGAAGAACTAACCTGATAAGACGACGGAGTGAAGAATGCAAGAAACGTAGTGAGAGCAAAAGTAACCCTTATAGAATCTCTTAAGGCAGAATGGCAATGGGCAATCTTCGAAACGTCTTTTTGTAAAATAGACAACCATGCAACTTCAATTCCCTTTTTAATAGGAGCCGCAATTCGATTAAAGAGGGAATTGGGGGCAAAGTGTGGAGGGAAAAATCTCCCTCCAATAAGAATAATCCACGTCATCATAAATATAAACTTATCCACGATGAGTTTATGAAGCCTACCTCGCGCAAACCCAAATTAAATTTGAGGCTAGTCCAAGATCACTATTCACAAGCCCAATACTATTGTTATTTGACCTTCAGTCCTGTTGAAGCCCGAATCAAGAGATTATCAACACAACACGGTAACATCAAACATCCTGCCCGTTATTCAAGCCCAACTGGTTCAAGGTGTATTCAGCCCAATTTTCCAAGATTGGACAAAT